AAAAATGTCGGCAGGCATTAGAATTTGACGTCATTAAGAGCAGGAAAACGAGAAGTTTATGAGTCGCACTCAGTTATCCGATGGAACTGCTAAAAATAAACAAGACTCAGTTGGTTTTTTCTTCAAGCTTCTTCGTATTCGTCGGCTTCTAAGAGCCGACACGTCTGAGTCGATAAATTGAACTTCTCCACTTGAGTCAGCGATCAGTTAGTTGTCGGTAATCGCATATACAGATTGCAAGTACATTTCACATTTCAAGTGGCCACGCCCCGATTCACAATTGAAAAACCTGGATCGACCCACAGTAGCGCATATTTTCCTTTATGTAATTAGAATTAAATGTGCGCGGGGTTTTTCCAATACCACAGAGAGAAGGAGAGAGAGTGAGTGAGTTTAGAGCGAGAGAACGGGACAGAGTGGGCTCGAAGAGCGAGATTTAGCTCAACAGGTTTCGTTTCTCTTACTTTTTCTGTTTCTGTTCTTTTTTTTGTATTTCAAAAAATATTTGCTCAGTGCTCGTCTTGAAGCACCCACTGTGCTGCAGGGAGCGGGGTAGAGAGTGCCCACTGTAGTGGACCGGTTATCAGTCCGCTTCTAGGTACTCGCATATTCTCGCTGCTCAAACTTTTTGCCAAGCTCAGTTTGTTTTTAAAGCTGCAGTCGAGCTGAGCTGCGCACCACGATCGCAGAGCGTCGAGACGCAAAAAAAAAACAAAGGAGACGAATTATACTTATAAATATATATATCTACATCAAATATATATATAAAGCAGCAGCTAAACGAGTTTCCCTCTCCGCAGTAATTGGTCGGCATGTCGTGCAAATATTGTAAGCTAAGAACAATTGTGGCAATATCCCATGTGCGGAGCTCTAACCCGTGCTCTTTGTCTCATCTTTTTACAGCATCAGCAATGCTGCTTCTGCTGGGCAGCTGCCTAAGCCTTTGTCTGTTCTTCACACCCGCTGCCTGCCTCGAGCGGACAGCGCATTGTAGACTATGGCCATGTGGTCTTCGGCAGTCGTTCTGGCTTTGATAACCAGATACAAAGCAGATCTGGAGGGGTGCCCGCAGTCCAGAATAGAATCGCTCAACGCACGGCTGTCGCAGCTGGGCAGCCAGCACAGCAACAATTTTCCGCCCAATCGCCAGCTCCAGCTCAAGCTCAGGCTCCGTCTGCACCTGCATCTGCATCTGTAACTCCTGGCGTAACAGTTCTTGGCATCGATGGTTCAACCGGCAAATCAGCTGCTGGTCAATCGAGAGGCTCGTCGGGTCCAGCACGTCCGCCGGCGCAGTTCAATTACCGTGAACGCTTCAGCTCCACACTCTTTCAGCCTATCTCGCGTAGCAATATAAACCGCAATGTCGTCTACTCACCTTCCTCGGTGCACGGTATCTTGGGCATGCTCTTCGGCGTCTCCAGTGGAGAAACTGCCACCGAACTTCGACTGGCTGGCCAATTTGAACAAGATCAACTGAGCGTGGCTAAGGACTTTCAGCGAGTAAATAATCTGGAGCGCGAGCTGCAGAATGCTCAACTAATTGTGGCCAACAAGCTGTTCTTCAATCATGAACTAGCTGTGGTCAATCCCGATTATGCACGCTACGCTCGTGAGTTCTATAACTCGGAGATTGAACGGTCAACATGAAGCGTTCAAGCAATACCGCTGCCAGAATTAATGCCTGGTCAGCAGATGCCACACGCAACATTATACGCGAGCTGGTCACCCCGAACGATATTGATGATGAGACACAAGCATTGCTGGTCAATGCCATTTACTTCAAAGCACGTTGGGCAAACGAGTTTTCAGCTATGGATACAACGCCGGAGAAGTTCCGTGTCAATAGCAACAAGGCCATCACAGTGCCCATGATGTACAACGACGATGTGTTTGCCTATGCCGAACTACCAGAGCTAGATGCCGTAGCGCTCGAGTTACCCTATGCCGGCACTCAGGTGTCAATGCTATTCATACTTCCGAACCAGGTGGATGGTCTCTCACAGCTGGAACGGCAACTGCAACGTGTAGATCTCAATCAGATTGCGGCACGCCTACGTCGAGAAATGGTTGCAGTGCGAATACCGAAATTCCGCATTGAATTCGAACAGGATATGACGCGTCCGCTGCAGGAGTTGGGCGTGCGTCGCATGTTCACTGCCAACTCGCAGGTAGATGCCATGCTAATGCGTCCTGTAAAGGTGTCAAAGATACTGCAAAAGGCCTTCATTGATGTCAACGAGGCGGGCTCCGAGGCAGCAGCCGCCACCTGTAAGTTTAACCACCTGCAAAAACTCAATCTAAATCGAGCCAAATATTCATTCCCATTCTATCTTTATAGTTGCCAAATTTGTGCCCTTGCTGCTGCCAATGAATCACGCGAATTTACTTACTGCCTGTCATCCGTTCCTGTTTGCCATATACGCACACCTGACTCGGTGTCTCTTTATTGGGCATGTGGTCCAGCCGCCACAGGTGAACGCGAGACAGTAGAAAACCGTCCCTAGCTTCTAAGTTAAGTGTACGCATTTGCTATTTGTAATACATACTCGTAATTTTTACTTTATTGTAATACACACACATATACACACACGTAATTCGCATGATTCGTGTTATATTCTCGGAGATACCTTTGCACTGCGCCCATTGCTCAGAATTTGTGCCTTTTCCAGCTGAATATGTAGCCTTTGGTTTTTGCCCGCAAAAAGCTTGGCAAACCCGTTTCGCTCACAAGAGAGACCCCTCAGGCAGACTGTTTTATGGTAAATGGTAGCTGGCAGCTGGTCGCTGGTAGCTGGGAGCTATAACAATGTTTAACGTACGCCAATGCTAAGAGCTGCCATATAAACAAATGCAAATTTCATCAATCGTAACTTCCTCAATTGAGCGTGTCTATGGAAAGTCCAGCTACAGGTTTGCTTCTCGATGACTAAGGCGAAAAAATCCCGTTGACAAAAATACTAAGAGTTTGACTATGAAGCATCTATCTTTGACGTTGCATCACGATTTTCGTCAATACAAAAGTAATTAAATTATAATAAATAATGAGTGGAATGGCAAAGGTTTCTTGGATGGGGAAAAAATGGGGGTTTTCGGACTTGAACCATCATTCTAGATGTTTGTTTACGCAAAAATGTTTGCTGATAAGAGAACAGGTTTCTCTCATTGAGCGCTACGAGAAATGACAATCTAAGTGGATCCAAATCGAAGATGAGATACTCTGTAATGTTGTAAAACGAGAATGTTATAATACGTTGCCTTGAGCAGAAATGAAACAGTGATTGCTCAGCTGTGTAAGAGATTGACTGTTAGGGGCTATCTTAACTTCTAGGGTTTTTACCTCTAACAGTTTTTCTTTACATTAATTGCTTAAAAATATATACTACACTAGAGCAACACTATATGAAATCATGGACTCTAAGATATCATCTTTATAACCCCATAAATCTCACAGTCATATACCTTAGATCTAGGGTATTCCTGCTCGTGTGCTCTCTTCAAACAAATTGATTACAAATACATTTATAATAGCTTTAATGGATCTGTGGAAGCTGCTCAAGTCTTGTCAGGTCTGGCAATTAGGTCACTTACTAGATAATCAGCGAGACTATTTCATTCAGCTGTCATGCGGAGTCAGTTTCTTCTCCCTCTCCTTGCGCTCTCCGCTCTTCAACGCTCTCTCCTCTCTCACTCTCTTATCAGAATTTCAATTAAATCACTTTGAGTGTTTTCTTGTGTGTAGATCTTAAAAACCGGCTCTAAGGTCGCCGTCACATTCTGTTTGATTTTCCGGCTCGTGTGTTTATTTAATTGAGTGTGAGCTCCGGTGGCAAATAGCAGCAACAGCTTAAACTTAAATCTTAGCAGAACTTAAAGCTTGGAATACCCCCGATGAGTTACGCTAACTGGAGACGACTTCTAGTCGTAACAGCCGTCGTGCTGCAGCTGCTGCTGCTGTTCAGTAGCTGTGCGCATGGCAAATCCGACAGCTGCTTTGAGTGGCTCCAGCGAGCGCTTTGGCCTGCGCCTGGCCACGAACCTGGGTCTGGCACAGCCTCACAGCAATGTTGCTGTCTCTCCGCTACTCCTGCAAACGGCTCTTGCTCTGCTCTTTGCTGGCATAACGCCCAGCTCGGCGCCAACGGCTCAACAGCTTGCGCGTAGCTTTGGAGCTGCAATATTAGGAACGCCGGACCAGGCACTCCAACAATTTCAGCAGCTGCTGGGGAATCTGAAGCAGGAGGTAGCCATTGGCTGCCAGCTGCGGCTGCTCAGCGAGTTCTACACGCAGCAGCGCTACACCTTCAGCTTTCGAGATGAGTTCGAGGCGCGTGCCGGAACTTTGGGCATAGGCGTGCAACGGCTAGACTTCAACAACTGGGCAAGTACAAGCGCAGGAGATTAACTATGATTTCCTGAAGCGCAGCAACTACAAGCGTGGGTGAGCTGGTTAGCAGCCATTTGCTGGAGTCCAGCAGCGCCTCGGACACTCCCTTTTTACATGTCTCGGCGCTGACATTTCGCGCACCTTGGGCCCAGGCCTTCGATGCGCAGGAGACGCAATGCATCAACTTTTTCCCCGAGGGCAGCCACAACGCCAAGCTAGTGGATGCCATGTTCCTGCAGCATCGCTTTCCGATATGCGGAGCTGCCCTCGTTGGATGCCTGCGCCGTTGAGCTGCCCTATGCCACAGCAGGGCTCAGTTTGCTCATAATTTATCCCAATCAGCCGACAGGCTTGGCCCTGCTGGAACGCCAGCTGCAACGCATCGATCTGCATCAGCTACGACGTCGGATGCTCAGCGAACGCAAAATGGCTTTAAAACCCTGCCCAAATTCAGTTTGTTGGCCCACAACCGAACTGCGTGCGGTTCTGGAGCAAGTAAGTCAGACAAACTTTCGATACTCCGTGAAATTGTGATCTAACAGTCATGACTTCAAATTAAAATTCTTGTAGTGTAATTATATATATGGAATATTATTAAATGAAGTTTCTCTCTGCTTGCAGCTGGGTCTGTCCAAGCTATTTACATCCGAGGCTCAGCTACACAATGTGTTCAGCTCAATTATATCCAGTTCGGCACCGCATTTGACCGCAGTGCCGCACAGCGTATTGTTCCAAGTGGATGAAGCAGGCGGTGAGGCGGGGCAAACGTTGGTAAGTACAAAGTTAGTTTAGGGCTTTGGAATTTCATTTTTAACAGCCGAATTTCTTGTTCTCCCCCATCTTCAGTGGCTGCCTTCACCGACCTATTTCGCAGCACATTATCCCTGGTGATCAATCATCCGTTCTTCTATGCCGTCGGCAATGAGAAGACCCTGCTACTGGCGGGCCATGTAGTCGACATCTAAACTCGAGGACCATATTCTAGCGCAAAGGTTATCTGCTTATCAGCGACTCGTCAAGGTGATAAACGATCTGTAAACAAGACTACGAAAAAATACCACCCAGCTGATCGACTAATTTCCGAGAATCTAAGACGTAATCGCAGCTCCAACAGACTCTCGCAGCCAGCCGCAAATTCAGTTTGAATTCAGACGCTCGACGCTCGACGACGCAAATTATCAATCAAGCGAAAACTGTTGCTCTAAACTAACATACATATACATACATATTTATATGTACAGAAATTTTGTATATATATAAATTGAAACAATCATGACGCTCAGCGCAGTGCAGTGCCTATTACGTAAGCCTCAATTATTGCCTATAAGATCTTTATAAACTTGTACTCGAGCATGTATAAACAGAAACCAGTCTCAATGGTCTACGAAAAAGCAAAGTGACAATATTTATGGCTCGATTATTGATAAAAATTACAATAAACCAGAAAAGAAAAAACCTAGCTGAATATGACCAAAGTCTAAATACCCTATAAGAGTGCATATATTATACATGTATTTCTTCAATAGGATGAATTTGGCTGTTCACGTCAGGCTTATCAGTGCGAATTAAAATGTTTCAATATTAACTTGATTCAATTTTAATTATAGCTATATATAAGATATAGTAGAGTGCCTCTAGTTAAAAAGCAGCATCAGTCGCAAATTTTGGCAATAAATTTTGGGTGACGTCAAGTTAGATAGATAAGAGTTTGTTTAGCTAAGAATGGGCTCTTCTCTCTAGCCGAGTTACACAGTTGGAATACCCCAGCTCTGGCCAATTCGAACAGCAAACAGAATTAATGGGTTGTTTATCGTCTGTCATAACAGAATCAAGGTTCTTCAGAGACAATCGAACAAGACAACGCGACACATAATTTAATTGGAATTTTATTCCAAAATATGAGTTTCCTATGCAGATACATATATGTATGTATGTCTAACTGATGTTGATGCTGGCAATAGCTGAGTAAAACAGAACCGAACTTTGAGATCACATATGAGATATTGAAATTTCGAAATGGCATATTCAAGAACTTTTAAAGAATTGGAAATTGTGAACAAGTTTGCTGCTGTTATAGTTTTCGGTAGCAACTCTCAAATTTCACACGTCTCAGATTTGTAGATGAAATACAGATATAGCTCATAATGTATTATAGAAAATGATGTAAGCTAAGTACTTTGCTGGTATTTATGAATTTCGTGTTTCGCTAAAACTTTTGTGCAGTTTCCTTGGCAATTCTGGGCAGTTGCCAAGCGAAAACCTCCACTGGCTTGGATGCTGCGCGGGATCGCAATCTGCTTGCTGCCGATCTTTACAATGCGGTGGGTGCGGAGCGACTGAATGAGAACATTGTGATTGGCAACCGCAGCCATACAGACCTCTATGGCGCTGGCCTTTTTCGGGGCCAAGGGCCAGACAGCCATTGAGCTGAAGGAGGGCATGCGTTTGGGCATTGGCGATGGGGATCAGGTGTCGCAACGGCATGGCAGCTTCCAGCAGGCGCTGACGCGTGACAACAATCTACGACTGGCCAACAACATCTACATCAACGAGAATCTGGAGTACAAGGGCTCTTTCGTGATGTGGCTCAGCGGCAGTTCGACTCGAACATTGATAAACTCGACTTTCATCCGCCGTACAACAAGCGCACAGCGGATGGCATCAATCAGGCTGTAGCGACCAAGACAATAATCAGATTAGGGACATACTCAAGGCGGAGCTGCTCAACGATCGCACCGAAGGAGTCATTGTGAACGGTGTCACATTTGCCGCACCCTGGCAGAAGGCCTTCAAGCTGGAAAAGACGAAGAGCCGCAGCTTCCGCACGGGTAATGGCCAAAACGTTAATGTGGGAGACCATGTGGACGCTGCAGAACTTCAACTATGCCGACGTTAGCAGCCTGGATGCCAAAGCCTTGGAGTTGCCCTACCAAAATCAGGAGTACTCAATGATCCTGCTGCTGCCCAATCGCAAGGACGGCTTACGCTCCCTCCAACAGAGCCTGGTCGGCAAGAATCTGCTCACCGAACTGGGCCCGATGAGCATGCACAAAGTGGAGGTGGAGCTGCCCAAGTTTAGTGTAACCTTCGGCCTCAGCCTGGAGAAGCCTTTCAAGCAGGTGCGTAGAGCAATTGACATAGAAAACTGAATTTGTAGCTTAACTCTGCTGCTCTAGCTGGGCGTTACGACCATGTTCTCACGTGATGGAGACTTTGGCAATATGTACCGCATGTTCGTGAGCCACTTCATCAACAGCGTCGAGCACAAGGCGCATGTGGAGGTGTCTGAGGCAGGCGTGGAGCCGTCGCTGGAGTCGGGTGGTAAGCTATCGCTCTCTCACTCTCTCTCTATATATATTTCTCTTGGAATAATATTAATACACAATCTTTTTTCTATCTCTCCTTAGTTTTGAAGGGTTTATTCTCGCGCACTAAGAAATTTGAAGCGGATCATCCATTTGCCTTCGCCATCAAATACAAAGATTCGATTGTCTTTATGGGACACATTGCTAATTATGCTTATGTGTGAACTCAAATTTTACCCTCTAGCTAATTTGAGGTGCAAATTAATTATCAAATTTATTTGTTTTCTTTTTATGTTTTTAGTTAATGAACGCAAATTTGATCAACAATCAAATTTGAGCGAATAAACTTTGAATGTCGCAAGCTTAAACGAATCTTAAATTTATTATTTATAGAGCTATAGTAAAACAGAGCAGCAAAACTTGAACTCAATGATACCCTGTATTCAACATACCCTGTGTTCCACATTTGAAGAGAGCTGGCTGTTTATTTGAATCTCGTATACCAAAAGCATTTAACTTTCGAGAGGATTTCCTAAGCTACGACTTACAGGGTATGCTTAAACGAAGTGACACTGCTGCTCACACAAATATACCCTACATAGAAGATATGCAGGGCTTACTAATGTGATTAATATTAGGCTCTGCTTTGACATTTGCATATAATAAAAAAATCAATTGGAATTCAGCCCATTTTAAGAGGCTCAAAATCGAATAGAAGAGAAAGATCAAATGTTGAGATAACATTTCGATTAAAAAAACAAAACAAACCTAAGCAGCTATGCAAAATAATTCAAAATACAAAATGCAGGTAAATAAAATCATGTTTTAATTATCAGCATTCGCGATCTTTTTCGCCGGACTCACCTTTCGAGCTCCAAATGCATTTGATTTGTGGTATCCATAATAAAATCCTTTGTGCGACGTTTAGCGGATTTGCTGTTTTTTTCGCTTGATTTGCATTCACAAATATATTTAACACACACACCCACACACTTATGTATATGTATTGGTGCATATACATAAATTAGGATTTCAACATATTTCTTATTAATTTGCCAACAAAAAAGGCGACGAAGGTGATTTGCCGTGTAGCCAAGCGCAGGCGCAGCCTTTTATTTATTTGATTTTTACTCTTTTTTTTTATTTTTTATTATTATTGTTTTTGCTGTAATTTATTGAATTTTCTGTCGCGTTTTTCTAATCACACATAAATCAAGCAAATTCCAGTTTATTTATTTTTTCTTTTCTACTTCTATTGCTACTTCTTTGTCGCTGTTGTTGTTGTTGTTGCTGTTGTTGTGACAGCTTCTAATACAAATCTTTATATGCAGTTAATTTGGTTCAATGGCTGCCTGGAGACTGGAAACTGGTTGGAATCGCACGCGATATTCGGTATTTGGAAAAGCTCAATGAGAGTTGGCCAAGTGGCAAATTTAACGCGTCACATTAATTGCTGCATTTTTTCCAATGCGCTTCATTGGATGCGAAATTGTCGCACTGTGGGGCAAATCGTGCAGATATTTTAAGAGCATTTAAAATAATTGATGCGCCTTTCCACTTTTACTTCTGCTGCACATACACACACACACTCTACCATAGACAGCGAGAGAGAGGGGGCCGCAGGTGCGGGGACAGCCCTGGTCAACTATTTCTTCTTATTTATTTGCGCATGCAGCCGTCCAGACCGTCCAGACTGTCAGGCTGCCGTTTTTCCTTCTTTCTTTCTTTCGTAAACTAGCCTGCGCTAAAAAAAACAAACAAGCTACCGATTCTGACGGCCAGATAAGCCCAGCGTATACGCGTGGGCGAAGGTGGGCGGTGGGTAGGTGGAGGGTGGGTACCGCGGCGCGGGCAGCTGCACGCTGCAGTTTTTTAAATCCCGCAAACTGAACACGCACAACAACAAGCTACGTGAAATACGTGAAAAAGACGCGATTAAGCAGCGCATGCCGAAGTACGTCTGTCTCGCTTGACACCAATACACA